TGTTGTGTATGTTTGTGCTTAACAACAAACAAACTTTTCATATAAATCAACAAAGTCTGGGATGAAAATAAGAGATCGAGTTGTCACAAATAACCCTCAGCATTATAAATAAGGTAATATGTGTACTTTAAGGCCGTACTTAGCTTAAGTAATACATAAGCTATGAATTATCACAACTACTATGTATAATAATGTCTTATTTCAACATGGAGAAAAATAGTCCATTATTTCTGTTTATCAATCAGCTTTTAACGTACAAAGCGTCGTTTGGCTAATGCCTACCCAGTACGTCGAAACCTTGAATGACTACGTTTCATACGTATTGTCACACAGTAACACCAACACCATAGTTCAATGACTATCCTTATAAACGCACCATTGTCAAAAATCAGCCAAGAGAACCTCAGACGAAATAAGATTTAATGGCAGCATCCAAACAACAACTATACAAACCGATTTCCAATAAAAAGCAAGTAATATCAGCAGTGAAATAACGCTTGGTAGCCGCTAATGTTGATGTGTAGATGGCAGAAGAAGATGCCAATTTATCAATAGTTACCGTGGCTTTGGAGAGGTCAGCGAGTGGAAATGCGATAGCAGTTGGTCAAGACAACAATCCACTGATACTAACGGTTGCGCTTGCTTGTGCGAATGGTGCGTTGTGTTTTCAAAATCAGCAAAAACTAACAAACCCAGCACAACATATTGTATTCTAATGCTTACAGAGTTTTTTTTTTAAGTGACGCACAACTCTTTGCTGCTCTTGCCATAATGGGATGTGATACCAATTTTATTCTATCGCAAAGGCAAACTGAAGGCCTTACAGGTCTTAACGACGAATCCTGACCGACAGGAACGATGGTCCGGCATGGCCAGGTGATTTTGGCGCTTGACTCGCAATCTGAGGGTCGCGGGTTCAAATTCCCGTTCCACAAACATGCTCGTCCTTTCATCCGTGTGGGCGTTATAAGGTAACGGTCAATCCCAATTTTCGTTGATAAAAGAGTAGCCCAAGAGTTGGTGGGAGGTAGTGGTGACTAGCTGCCTTTCCTCTAGTCTTTAACTGCTAAATTTGGGACGGCTAGCGCGGATAGCCCTCGTGTAGCTTTGCAAAAACATGCTCGCCCTTTTAGCCGTGGGGACGTTATAATGTGAAAGTCAATCCCACTTTTCGTTGGTAAAAGAGTAACCCAAGAGTTGGCGGGAGGTGGTGATAACTATCTGCCGACAGGAACGAATACAGAAATGATGCTGCAAAGAAACACGTTGCCACTGCAGGTGATGCAATATATTTCAATATGGTATACATTGATAACCTTTTTGAGATAAATGCAGAACTATCCTGGAAAATTAAATTTGACCTGGCTACTTTGCCATATCAAGCGCTGCTGCTCAACAACTTTCTCTTCGTGTATACTTGCAACTACAACAGTGGTTGGGAAACCATCCTGAGGCAACCAATTGGGGTTTGGAAACTTGAACATGGTTCTTTGATTCTTATCCCATCTCTCTTACTGTTAGAGCCAGCGCTTGAAGAGCTTTTAAGTTTGGTTTCGTGCAACTGTAAGACAGAATGCAAACAGCTCTGTGGATGTCGCAGAGAAGAGTTTCTCTGTTCGTTTATGTAGAGGCTTGTCTTCTAGTAATGTACCTGAATTTATTGCACGTTGTCAGGGAGACGATCACAATCCTGATGAGATCTTTCATCTGCACTAGAAACGGATGTTGACGATAAGATTAAAGAATTTATTGCAAAGATGCAGGAAAACTCCGGGGAAGAATCGGGGCCTACAATTACTAAAAGACCACGAGAATAGCATGTATTAATTATTCTCTCTGTATTCAGTGATGAAATGACAACGGCATTGTATACATCCCCATTAGCGTATAAGATAAAATTTATAATAATGTATAATACAATAACATGCAAGTCATCTAATAAATGTGTTGTGATTCTCTACATTTTATATAATAAATCTTTTTTTTTATTTCACCATTCTATGTCATACTGCTTGCTGAGATATCGCATTTCAAAAGTGTTTGTGTGTATATATGTGTGTGATAGTTCGTGGTCAGTAAGAGTCAGATACTTGGGGACTTTTGTTATGCTAAACAGTGTGTTTAATTCTGTGTGCCAAATGTCAGCTATCTCCTAATTTTTTCTTGTCATGTGTCTAGGTATCCTCGTCTTGTTATGTGTCTACGCATCCTCGTCTTGTCTTGTGTCTACGTATCCTCGTCTTGTCATGTGTCTACGTATCCTCGTCTTGTTATGGCTCTAGGTATCCTCGCTGTTAGCGATGTTTCAGGCCCTTATCTCATCAAGCAAAGTTTATCAAAATAAATAGTAATCAAGAACAACAAAATCATACAATTACTTCAGTACACATACAACTACGCGCCTAATTATATTTACGCAAACACTCTGACCATTGACAACATGTAAAAAAAAACGTTTTTGTAACTTGAATTACAACGGCATCTAACAAGCCATTATTTGTGAATAAGGTGTACAGTAAAATGACTAGTAGTTTTTGCTGAACTTTTGAGAAATAAAGAGTGTGATTAACAGTTTTTATTAAACGTTTTGAGTAACTAATAATTTCTTGATAAAAGGCTTTTGATGTGAAATGATATGTAAAATTATCTGGACCAAACATTACTAAAATGAATAGGAAAGGTGTTTCAGAATCAGAATTTTTTGTTAAGTGTAAAGCTACGCAAAGCGCTATCTGTGCTCTGCCCATCATGGGTATTGAAACCCAGTTTTTATCATTACAAACCCATTGATTTACCGCTGAGCCACCGGAGGGCAAATCAGAAAGAAAACTCAATAATCCGAGCGATTTTACAAAGTGGTCTTTCCTTCATCAGAGGTAAATGAAGCGAAATCGCTCGGGTTATTGTTTTTGTTGCTTGCTTTCTGATGAAATATCACATGTAAAAATGGTGTTTATTATTTCAAGACTTGTATTTGAAAGAAATTTATATTTTCACAGAAAAAAAAATTATTTTGCGCAAATCTGCAAAATGTGCAGTCTGCGCAGTTTCCTCCGTGGTAGATCGAACCCCGAATTTTAGCATTATAAGCTCTCAAGAGCTTTTGTAAAATCTGTCTTTATATATTAACGTATAATGTGAATAATTATAACATTGACCAGTTGTATTAGTTTAACCATTTTGAAGTCATGATTGTTTCAGAGATAAAATATTTATGATAGAATCATAATTACTATTACAACTTTGACGCAGAAATTACTCATAATCCTTTTGGTTTAGAAATGTTATTTGTTAGAAGAATATTACCACTTTCCTTCTTTAGCTCTTGGGTAATTTAACAACATTTATTTTCTAAAACTTTTGTGCGTGTTGATAAAAACACTAAAGTTACGTAAATTATTTTGTAGCAGTCAGAAATAGCCCGTAACTTCTGCCAGGTCTTAAGTTTGTAACGCACGTTTGTTACTTTGACTTAGACCTTTTAAATATTTTCGCAAACAGTTTGTGTTCGTAGTTAGAAATTTTTATCTGCTCCAGATTTCGTAAAAATGTAGACATTATGTTCCAAGGTGTTTTTCTTAAACTAAATACTTATAAACAATGATTATCAACCATAGTAAAAACCCTATTCAGAGTCTGACTTCAAAATATTGAAATCGATGCAGAAACTTGAGTTTTCAAAGAGTGAACTTATTTTTTCTTCCCTTATTAGCGGGTCTTTCCTCACTTTTGTTGAGTCACACATAAAAAACTACGTTAAATGCATTGCATATACAAAATTTTAAAGATAATGTTTCATTGATTATGTTGTTTGAGACTTTCTTTCTTTATTTTATTTTTAGGATTTTTGTTGCAAAACTACACAAAAGCTAGTTGTGCAAAACCGACCTTAATTTTGAACTGATAGACTAGATTGCAAGGGAGCTTCAACAGCACTCACTGTCAGCTCTCGGTCTACTTTTGTGCGGCAAGGTGGCGCGAACTAGAAACACGCGAATTCACTATTGTCAACAATTGTTTGAGACACTATTGTTTGGCACGGCATGACCAGGTAGTTAGGGTGCTCGACTCGCAATCTTTGGGTCGCGGGTTCGAATCTCCGTTACACCAAATACGCTCGCCCTTTCAGCCGTGGGGGCGTTATACTGTGACGGTCAATCCCACTATTCGTTGGTAAGAGAGTAGCCCAAGAGTTGGCGGTGGGTGCTGATGACTAGCTGATTTCCCTCTAGTCTTACACTGCTAAATTAGGGACGGCTAGCGCAGATAGCCCTTGAGTGGCTTTGCGCGAAATCCATAACAAACAAACACTATTGTTTCTTAACGTTTTTAATGCTTCATTTGTGTCTTTTCGTCGCTTTCTTAAGAAAAGTAGAATCTATACTGAAAAACTAACACGTGTGTATATTAGCTTATTATATATATATATTACCTGTTATTATTCTTGAAATATATTAATACGTTTACCCATTACTTTATCAACCCGAAATCAGAAGAAGCTATTGATCAAATCTTTGAGGATTTGAAGTTAATATAACTAAAAAGATGGTTTATTCTTAAGATACTGTTTCTAGTATTTCATCTTTGAGAAATCATGAAATATGATAAGTTAATGCGTTTTGTAAATATACAATTGCGGTAAAAAGTTTTACATCGAATTATAGTATAGAAAAGAAATCATTTACTAATGTTTATACCCTCAAGTTGAGTAGTACATAGTTTCTGCTTGAAACTTTCCTGCTCAATTTCGAACAATTAGTATTTTTAAAGAACAGTGGGCGATCGTTCTAGAAATTCAAATTGCACAAAAATGTAAATTTCGATTATTTTTATAGCCAACTATCGAGCTAGGAAAGGATGTTTTAAGAAAGCATCTTTCAAAACGCAAAGAGTGTAGTTTGTTTCTCAGAAGTACGTTGTGTTTTCATTATTTTATTAACAGAAATGTGTAGTTTGAATATTATTCTTATCGAAATTTTAATGCATCTATCTCCCAATAGATTCCTGTTTATGGAAAAATGAATGTAATCGTGCCATGAGAAAAACACACAAATACGATGAAACTGGCTGTCTTCTATAGAGATTGAACCGTTCACCTGAACTAACAACTTAGTATATGGTTCTACGTCAGCAAGCTTTTATCCAATCACAGTGCTGTACTTTATTACGTTGCCATGGTATCGAATACGTTTTCGCGAATCGTAGATGGCAAAATGAAGTTGACTGCTCATGTCACATTCCAATTTTCACTTGCGAGAAGAGAACACCAGGTACTGAAAGTATTTGTTAAAATCTGTACTCTTTAAGTGGCGTTTCACTAACGACGTGTATTACGGAACTGTAGCTCGCACTTTGTACAAACTTTTTTCTAAAAGACATTTCTAAGGGAAGAAATCTCAGATGTCACCATTCGACATTATTTAAAGAAGTTACTTAATGTTGCTGATTACATAAAAAATTCGTTTATATCTGATTCTCCTTAAAATACTTTCTAAGCGACATATTGATAATGAAAACTTCATCAGTAATTTGGTAGCTACAAAATACTCCAAGATGACGTCCACACTGTCTTCAACAATCTTTGAAAATCCTGTTTGTGAACCAACAAACAATACCACTTTTATTGATGGCACTACATCAGTTTGTAACTTAACAATGGATAATATAAACACCACTATTGCATTGCCAGAGCCATCGTACTACTCAATATACTATCGAATCATTGGAACTACATTTCTAGGATTAATATTCCTGATAGGCATCCTCGGTAACATCATGGTAGTTATGGTGGTAACTAAAAGCCGTAGCATGCTGACTCCTACCAACTGCTACCTTGTCAACTTATCCTTAGCTGATCTCATGGTCTTAGTAGCTTCTGTTCCCAACGAAGTTTTATCCTATTATTTGCTGGGAGACGAATGGATCTGGGGCCGAGTTGGTTGTGCTCTCTTCATATTTTTTCAGTATCTAGGGATCAATGCCTCATCCCTGTCCATCACAGCTTTCACAGTAGAACGGTATATCGCCATCTGCCATCCCATGAAAGCCCAGATGGTCTGTACCATTAATAGAGCCAAGAAGATTATTATTGGGGTTTGGGTGTTCGCCTGTCTTTACTGCTCCCCTTGGCTTTTCCTCACCAAGACCGTTCCTATCTTTTACAAGGGCCACGATAATATGGAGACCTGTACCTTTGCTCTTTCCAGAGAGTACTATCTGGGGTATTTTTTTGCTGACCTAGTTCTCTTCTACATCCTTCCGCTACTACTATCCTGTGTACTTTACAGTCTGATAGCAAGAATCTTATTCACTAGTGACATTCGCAGAAAAATGGCTAAAGAAGGGAACCCCCCAAGAGATTCAGCGAGGAACACCAACACAAGCGCTAGAGTACAGGTAATATATACTCTTTGGTACTTTTGTCTATTTACTAATTAAAGATTGATGTGCTATTCTAAGCTATAACAATAAGACACTGTGTAATTCCAAAAATAACACATTCAACAGTAAAGTGTAGGACTCCTAAATTGGCGAAACGAAAAAAACTTTTTAGGCGTAACAATTGCTTTAAATCATTACGTTTCATTTCAATTTTTTTTATCTTAGAATTGTTTTTAATTCGCTCTAATTTAGAATAAGTATTTATCTAATGTTTTAATTTCTGCATTGACTTTCAAACGCAAAACTTATGAGTGAAGAGATCCATACAGAAGAAACAAAAAGGTTCTGAAAAGCTTATATAGTTGTAAGCGTTTGCAGACGATTAACACATGGGAAATCCCAGGGTCCCGACATTTTTCTAGAAAAAAATGATGAATAAACAAGCATAGATGATTTTGTACTCAGTTGTGAAGCTCCGAAATGAGTAATAATAATTGTTTATTATTCTATAATTTTAATTTTTAATGAAAACTGGGGCGGTATATCTTTTAATGATGGTTGATGTTTATTATTAAGCTATCTGTGCTCTGTCCACCACGGGTATCGAAACCCGGTTTCGAGCGTTGCTAGTCCGCAGACATACCGCTGTGCCACTAGGAGCTATCCCTTAATATTATTAACATAACATTATGTTTAAAACAATAATGATATATTCATTTTATATATTAACAAATTATTAAGGAATTTCACATTACAATTAGACCTGTATATCATTAAGTTTATATTATGGTCTAAGAGTTGCAACCCATCACACTTTCCGGGATCCTTTATATTGTCCCTTTATATATATATACACACACATATATATAGATGAAGAGAAAGACAAATGACGTTTTCATAGTGCAAAGCTACAATGGGTTATCTGCACTCTGTCCATCGCTGGGAATCAAACCCTGTATTTGAGTGTTCATAAACTTGCTGTTGACCCGCCGGGCTGCACATAGAGAGGGTAAGAGAGTTAGAAGAAAGTGATATATAGTATAGGCGTAGGAACTTTCCTTGAAAATACATTTGATAAGGTAAACATTTCATGAAAGTTTAAGTACACAGCTGTGTTTGCCGATATATCATTGGAAAAAGAGAAACATGTTTGACACACTATACCTATAACTGTATCGCTATAGCTCTCTTTATACGACGGAAATGGTATTTAAATAAAGATTATCTGATTATACAGTGTGAGTTTTTCAAATGCTAATTTAACTATCTCAAAGGCATCGCCAATACAGTACCGTAGATTTTGTAATGTTGAATGCTTAACTCATGATTGTCTCTAGAAATACCGTATACTTTATAATTTCACATACTTAACTCATGATTGTCTCTAGAAATACCGTATACTTTATAATTTCACATACTTAACTCATTATTGTCTCTAGAAATACCGTATACTTTATAATTTCACACACTTAACTCATGATTGTCTCTAGAAATATCGTATACTTTATAATTTCACATACTTAACTCATGATTGTCTCTAGAAATATCGTATACTTTATAATTTCACATACTTAACTCATGATTGTCTCTAGAAATACCGTATACTTTATAATTTCACATACTTAATTCATAAATGTCGGTAGAGTGCATTCCATTCTATCTAACTTTAAATGCTAACTAATAATTGTTAGAACTATACCGTATAATGTATAACTTTAAATTCTAAACTAAAAATTGTCGGTACAATACCGTATACCTTATAACTTTAAAAGCTTAACTAATAATTGTTGGTATAATGTATAACTTTAAAATTGTCGGTACGATATCGTATACTTTATAACTTTAAACGCTTAACTAATAATTGTTGGTATAATGTATAACTTTAAATTTAAACTAAAAATTGTCGGTACAATACCGTATACCTTATAACTTTAAAAGCTTAACTAATAATTGTTGGTATAATGTATAACTTTAAATTTAAACTAAAAATTGTCGGTACAATACCGTATACCTTATAACTTGAAAAGCTTAACTAATAATTGTTGGTATAATGTATAACTTTAAATTTAAACTAAAAATTGTCGGTACAATACCGTATACTTTATAACTTTAAACGCTTAACTAATAATTGTTGGTATAATATCATATGATGTATAACTTTAATTCTAAACTAAAAATTATTTGTGCTTTGATTTGTCGTTTTTCATCCTTATATTTTTGTCGTTATATTTTCTCAAAACTCTGTGGTTTATTATTTATTTT